AAATCGACAGTAACACATTCATAGTAGGGTACTTTAACACCCCACTTTCACCAATGGACAGATCATCCAAAATGAAAATAAATAGGGAAACACAAGCTTCAAATGATACATTAAACAAGATGGACTTAATTAATATTTATAGGACATTCCATCCAAAAACAACAGAATACACATTTTTCTCAAGTGCTCATGGAACATTCTCCAGGATAGATCATATCTTGGGTCACAAATCAAGCCTTGGTAAATTTAAGAAAACTGAAATTGTATCAAGTATCTTTTCTGACCACAAGCCCATGAGACTAGATATCAATTACAGGAAAAGATCTGTAAAAAATACAAACACATGAAGGCTAAACAATACACTACTTAATAACGAAGTGATCACTGAAGAAATCAAAGAGGAAATCAAAAAATACCTAGAAACAAATGACAATGGAGACACGACAACTCAAAATCTATGGGATGCAGCAAAAGCAGTTCTAAGAGGGAAGTTTATAGCAATACAATCCTACCTTAAGAAACAGGAAACGTCTCGAATAAGCAACCTAACCTTGCACCTAAAGCAATTAGAGAAAGAACAAAAAAACCCCGAAGTGAGCAGAAGGAAAGAAATCATAAAAATCAGATCAGAAATAAATGAAAAAGAAGTGAAGGAAACGATAGCAAAGATCAATAAAACTAAAAGCTGGTTTTTTGAAAGGATAAACAAAATTGATAAACCATTAGCCAGACTCATCAAGAAAAAAAGGGAGATGACTGAAATCAATAGAATTAGAAATGAAAAAGGAGAAGTAACAACTGACACTGCAGAAATACAAAAGATCATGAGAGATTACTACAAGCAACTCTATGTCAATAAAATGGACAACCTGGAAGAAATGGACAAATTCTTAGAAAGGCACAACCTGCCAAGACTGAATCAGGAAGAAATAGAAAATATGAACAGACCAATCACAAGCACTGAAATTGAAACTGTGATTCAAAATCTTCCAACAAACAAAAGCCCAGGACCAGATGGCTTCACAGGCGAATTCTGTCAAACATTTAGAGAAGAGCTATGACCTATCCTTCTCAAACTCTTCCAAAATATAGCAGAGGGAGGAACACTCCCCAACTCATTCTATGAGGCCACCATCACCCTGATACCAAAACCAGACAAGGATGTCACAAAGAAAGAAAACTACAGGCCAATATCACTGATGAACATAGATGCAAAAGTCCTCAACAAAATACTAGCAAACAGAATCCAACAGCACATTAAACGGATCATACACCATGATCAAGTGGGGTTTATTCCAGGAATGCAAGGATTCTTCAATATACGCAAATCAATCACCATATTAACAAATTGAAGGAGATACACCATATGATCATCTCAATAGATGCAGAGAAAACTTTCGACAAAATTCAACACCCATTTATGATAAAAACCCTGCAGAAAGTAGGCATAGAGGGAACTTTCCTCAACATAATAAAGGCCATATATGACAAACCCACAGCCAACATCGTCCTCAATGGTGAAAAACTGAAAGCATTTCCTCTAAGATCAGGAACAAGACAAGGTTGCCCACTCTCACCACTCTTATTCAACATCGTTTTGGAAGTTTTAGCCACAGCAATCAGAGAAGAAAAGGAAATAAAAGGAATCCAAATCAGAAAAGACGAAATAAAGCTGTCACTATTTGCAGATGACATGATACTATACATAGAGAATCCTAAAGATGCTACCAGAAAACTACTAGAGCTAATCAATGAATTTGGTAAAGTAGCAGGATACAAAATTAATGCACAGAAATATCTGGCATTCCGATACACTAAGGATGAAAAATCTGAAAGTGAAATCAAGAAAACAGTCCCATTTATCATTGCAACAAAAAGAAAAAAATATCTAGGAATAAACCTACCTAAAGAGACAAAAGACCTGTATGCAGAAAATTATAAGACACAGATGAAAGAAATTAAAGATGATACAAATAGATGGAGAGATATACCATGTTCTTGGATTGGAAGGATCAACATTGTGAAAATGACTCTACTACCCAAAGCAATCTACAGATTCAATGCAATCCCTATCAAACTACCACTGGCATTTTTCACAGAACTAGAACAAAAAATTTCACATTTGTATGGAAACACAAAAGACCCCGAATAGCCAAAGCAATCTTGAGAACGAAAAACAGAGCTGGAGGAATCAGGCTTCCTGACTTCAGACTATACTACAAAGCTACAGTAATCAAGACAGTATGGTACTGGCACAAAAACAGAAATATAGATCAATGGAACAGGATAGAAAGCCCGGAGATAAACCCACACACACATGGTCCCCTTATCTTTGATAAAGGAGGCAGGAATGTACAGTGGAGAAAGGACAGCCTCTTCAATAAGTGGTGCTGGGAAAATTGGACAGCTACATGTAGAAGTATGAGATTGGATCACTCCCTAACACCATGCACAAAGATAAGCTCAAGGTGGATTAAAGACCTAAATGTAAGGCCAGAAACTATCAAACTCTTAGAGGAAAACATAGGCAGGACACTCTATGACATAAATCACAGCAAAGTCCTTTTTGACCCACCTCCTAGAGAAATGGAAATAAAAACAAAAATAAACAAATGGGACCTAATGAAATTTCAAAGCTTTTGCGCAGCAAAGGAAACCATAAACAAGACCAAAAGACAACCCTCAGAATGGGAGAAAATATTTGCAAATGAAGCAACTGACAAAGGATTAATCTCCAAAATTTATAAGCAGCTCATGCAGCTTAATAACAAAAAAACAAACAACCCAATCCAAAAATGGGCAGAAGACCTAAATAGCCATTTCTCCAAAGAAGATATACAGAGTGCCAACAAACACATGAAAGAATGCTCAACATCACTAATCATTAGAGAAATGCAAATCAAAACTACAATGAGATATCATCTCACACCAGTCAGAATGGCCATCATCAAAAAATCTACAAACAATAAATGCTGGAGAGGGTGTGGAGAAAAGGGAACCCTCTTACACTGTTGATGGGAATGTAAATTGATACAGCCACTGTGGAGAAGAGTATGGAGGTTCCTTAAAAAACTACAAATAGAACTACCATATGACCCAGCAATCCCACTACTGGGCATATACCCTGAGAAAACCATAATTCAAAAAGAGTCATGTACCAAAATGTTCATTGCAGCTCTATTTACAATAGCCTGGAGATGGAAACAACCTGAGTGTCCATCATCGGATGAACAGATAAAGAAGATGTGGCACATATATACAATGGAATATTACTCAGCCATAAAAAGAAACGAAATCGAGCTATTTGTAATGAGGTGGATAGACCTTGAGTCTGTCATACAGAGTGAAGTAAGTCAGAAAGAGAGAGACAAATACCGTATGCTAACACATATATATGGAATTTAAGAAAAAAAATGTCATGAAGAACCTAGGGGTGAAACAGGAATAAAGACACAGACCTTCTAGAGAATGGACTTGAGGATATGGGGAGGGGGTAGGGTAAACTGTGACAAAGCGAGAGAGAGGCATGGACATATATACACTACCAAATGTAAGGTAGATAGCTAGTGGGAAGCAGCCGCATAGCACAGGGAGATCAGCTCGGTGCTTTGTGACAGCCCGGAGGGGTGGGATAGGGAGGGTGGGAGGGAGGGAGACGCAAGTGGGAAGAGATATGGGAACATATGTATATATATAACTGACTCATTTTGTTGTGAAGCTGAAACTAACATACCATTGTAAAGCAATTATACTCCAATAAAGATGTTAAAATGAAAAAAAAAAAAAGAACTAAAGGTACAATAAAGTGAAATAATCCCCCCCCCAAAAAAAGCTACTAGACTGGATGAGATCACAATGAGTGCAAACAGAGAAGAGAGCAAAGAGCTGACCCCTGAAATTCCCCAATATCAAGAGAACAGGAAGAAGAAAAAGACACAAAAAAGAAGACTGAAAATGAATAACAAGGAATGTAGAAGAAAAACCAAGATAATGTGTATGCTAAAAGCTAAGTGAAGGAATTATGTCAAGGAAGACAGAGTGATCAACAGTGTCAACTACTGTGCACACACAGATCAAGCATATATGGAATAAGAATTAAGCAATAGATTTAGTAATGTAAAGGTGAATTTAACAGCAGTTTTGGTGGAATAGTAGAGTGAAAGCTTGACTGGAGTTGATTTAAAGTGAAAATGAGAAGAAGGTATTGGGGGTTTGAGAAGGTATGAAATAGTTATCTAGAATAGTGGAAGAGTGAATGAGTGAGTGGGAGATAGTCTTATTGCCTACTAGCAAAAAGTTCCACTTGAGATTCATGGTCATTAATTTAAAATGAGAATAGTCCTATGCTGGTATATTTTCCTCCAGCCATGTTCCACTGTAGGTATATATGAAGAATAGGTGAAGAAGATTAAGCAGGGTTTTTGTTTTGTCAAGGACTACAGTGAAATGAGAGAGGGCAAGGAGTCAAAAGTATGTGCAAGAGAGTGATCAAGAATGCTCCATGAATTTGCAGGGCAGAAATAGAGACAAAGATGTAGAGAACAAACGTATGGACACCAAAGGGGGAAAGTGGTGGGGGGTGGAGGTGGGGGTGGGATGAACTGGGAGATTGGGATTGACATGTATACACTAATATGTATAAAATAGATAACTAATAAGAACCTGCTGTATAAAAAAATAAAATAAAATTCAAAAATTCCAAAAAAACCCCAAAAGAGTGCTCCGTGATATTTAAGCCAGCCATGGAAGGCATCCTGAGAAGAGGAATAAACAAACAAACAAAAAAAGGTGATAGGATCAATGCATTGGAGGTCCCAGTATAATTGGGGTCCTTAGAGATACAAGAACTGTAATCAAGTACTGGGATACACAAAGTTGGGTTCACAGTGGTGTTGGTATCTAATACTTTATATAATCCATATTTTTGCTTTATCAAAACTTTTCAAAACCAATGATAAGCAGGTTTTTCTTATATTTTAGTGTAAAAAAGATTTTCTTACCTCTGATGAGGAAGGTCGACTTGGACTGAGGGACATATTCACCAATGTCTGAATGGGGTAATTATCAGTTGGAATTTTGTAGGGTTTTTTTAATCTTTCTTCATTGAAGTAGTATTTAATAAAGGTTATAACAGATTTTTGGCTTGTTTAAGATAGCATTCCACTCATTTCTGTCTCTGATTCATTCAAAAAATAAACAGAAAAACACAAAAGGCTTTAGACTCAAAATGAAAACTTGATAAGTATACAATCTTATTATAATAATTCAAAAAGATATACTACTAGTAAGTAGGGCTGGTAACTGCAATGAAATGAACATATATCCCGTACAACTAAGTAAAGTGGTAAATTATAATAGACTTGTGACTAGAACATTTTTTACTATTCTAAACAATTCATTTTCTCTTGGTCAAAAATTAAGGTTAAATATATATAGTGTTTTACACAAAGTAGAAATATACTTTTGGAAGTAGAAAGATTAAACTTATACAAATGCTGTAAAATGATGAAAATTGTTTTACCCTTTACATTTCTTCCTGGCCTTGGATACCTCAATAATAATAAATGTGAACAATTATTCCAGATGAAAATATCAGTCTTTAAGTATATCAGGTTTGTGTACCTATGTTTGTGTATTATTTCTTGTGTTTTCCCTCAGAAAATGTATGACAGTTTACAAGAATACACAACAAAATTTAAAGTATATAAATATATAATAAAAGTTAAAAAATAAGGTAGCAGAATTATTACTCTAAAAAAGAATTATCAAAGTGGGACAATCCTTAGGGATATACTATAATACCAATAGTAGAGAAGTTTTTTCAAGATTCCAAAGCTTTGCTTTATATTAAGATAGTGATTTAAATCTGACAAAACTTAAAATTCAAGCTGAGGGTGGCTGCAGGATAGGAATGGAATGGAGAAAAAAAAGAAAATTGTGTGGCTACCTTTAAATATGAGATCACATGAGGCTGTAGGCAAGCCTCCTCCGATCAAAGGCCTGACTGAGGGCTATAATTAAAAAAATTCTTAAACCTAGGGAGGATTCCCAAAAGTGTTGTAACTAGCGTACCAAAATGGGAAGCCACTGGTCTAAGCTAACCGTACCTCACAGAAATTTTGGGGGAGGCGTTCTCCCCTAAGCTAAATGAGGAAAGTAAAACATTCCAACATAGGTTAATAGGTATATCGGTCTTTCAGTATCATTGAGGTAGCCACCCAATTATTTAAAAAAAGAAAAAAAAAAACCAAAACTATCCTTGTTTTACAAATCTGGTCTCTATAGAATCAGAGGTATGGCTCCAAAAATAATCCAAAGCCCACCAATCCTTTTATCACTCCCAAAAGCTTCCCTATTTATCTTAAGAGACTTGTAAGTATTAAAGGGGAAACAGTCATCCTAGGAGGAACTTGCCTGTGCCTTTGAGATGCAAATATCTGACCTGGTTTTCTCCAGGAACCCTAATCTCTGCCATCTTTTTAAAATGCAGATTTTGAAAAAGGGGGTAAATTGGAACTTGTCAAGGACAAATAAAAATCTTAAGCATCTTTTCCACAAATATTATTAACAAGGGTTTAGCCATCTAGACAAGTGAGTTTGATTTATTATATCTGCCAGAAACCCAATTTTAATCCAACCTCTTTTGCAGACTGATGGGTTTTACATTGCTGTACCTGGCTCATGGCTGAAATTCTGGAATGGGAACAATGAGGTCTCTGTGTTTGTGTGTTCGTACGTATCTATGTGTGTCTTAGATGTATGGTATTGCCAAAAAGTAATTAGTAAAAGAGCTCCATTTCACTGACTTAAAGGAAATTAGCGCAGAAATAGAAAATAATCTGGCCAGAATGAATTTTACCTGGTGGCGCAGTGGTTATGAATCCATCAGCCGATGCAGGGAACACAAGTTTGAGCCCTGGTCTGCGAAGATCCCACATGCCGAGGAGCAACTAAGCCCGTGCGCCTCAACTACTGAAGCCCGCGTGCCTAGAGCCCATGCTCTGCAACAAGAAAAGCCACCGCAATGAGAAGCCCACGCACTGCAACAAAGAGTAGCCCCAGTAGTACTGGAAAATATTCAGTACTAAACTGATATCTGGTATTGAAGGTGGCTTAAGCTTGTTGGCTTCATTAATATAGACAAGTCTTTAGAGTCGTCAATGTTAAGTATAATATTGTACAATATTTCTGTTGTACTTAGGTTTACTAGACTTTATTATATCTATTGCAAATTTGTCAGTAAGAAAAGTAACCCAATGTGGAAAGATTTTTAAGCAAAGTTAGATATGTGTCTTCAGTAAAAGAAGGCGTGAGGGGGCTTCCCTGGTGGCACAGTGGTTGAGAATCTGCCTGCTAATGCAGGGGACACGGGTTCGAGCCCTGGTCTGGGAGGATCCCACATGCCGAAGAGCAACTAGGCCCGAGAGCCACAACTAATGAGCCTGCGCGTCTGGAGCCTGTGCTCCGCAACAAGAGAGGCCGCGATAGTGAGAGGCCCGCACACCGCGGTGAAGAGTGGCCCCCGCTTGCCACAACTAGAGAAAGCCCTCGCACAGAAACGAAGACCCAACACAGCAAAAATAAATAAAATAAATTAAAAAAAAAAAAAAGAAGGCGTGAGGATGAAAAAATACTGAAGAGTTACGCATGATCAGGATTTTCTAAGATTGGATTGAATTTAGGTGGGTAAATGGATTTTGTTGGGAGTAAGCTAAGTCTTGGATTTGGTTTCTCTTTCCGTTAAGAGAACAAGGTTTTCCTTTTTTTAAAAAAAAAAAAGTTATTTATTTATGTATTTATTTATTTTGGGTTGCATTGGGTCTTCATTGCTGCACGTGGGCTTTCTCTAGTTGCATTGAGCCACGGCTACTTTTTGTTGTGGTGCACGGGCTTCGCTTGCTGCAGAGCATGGGCTCTAGGTACACAGGCTCAGTAGTTGTGGCTTAGTTGCTCCGTGGCACATGGGATCTTCCCAGACCAGGGAATTAGACCCATGTCCCCTGCATTGACAGGAGGATTCTCAACCACTGAGCCACCAGGGAAGTCCCAAGAACAAGGTTTTCTTGGAATACTGTTTCTTTTAATAAATTTATTTATTTTATGTACTTATTTTCGGCTGCATCGGGTCTTCGTTGCTGCCTGCGGGCTTTCTCTAGTTGCAGCGAGCAGGGTCTAGTCTTTGTTGCGGTGCGCGGGCTTCTCATTGCGGTGGCTTCTCTTGTTGCGGAGCACGGGCTCTGGGCACGTGGGCTTTAGTAGTTGTGGTGTGTGGACTCAGTAGTTGTGGCTCGTGGGCTCTAGAGCGCAGGCTCAGTAGTTGTGGTGCATGAGCTTAGTTGCTCCGCAGCATGTGGGATCTTCCCGGACCAGGGCTCAAATTCGTGTCCCCTGCATTGGCAGACGGATTCTTAACCACTGTGCCACCAGGGAAGTCCCTGGAATGCTGTTTCTGATAACATATTGTGTGAGTTTCTTTGCCTTTAAGTGATCTGTATTTGCTTTTGAGATCTCTTGTAACTTTGGTTAACAAATAAGTATTGTCTCACAGTGACCAATGACCTTATTTGATCAAGTGTTGAAACTTTTTGAGAAACTTCCCAAATATCAAATTTTAATCAAAGTTCTTTTGACTTTCAGCTAACTTTGGGATGTTTTGGAGGGCCCCTGAGGCATCTCAGAGAGAAATATTTAACCAGTATTATTTGGTATGTTAAATTACATAGAGAGCATTATCACACGAGCGATTAACCTACTTAAGATATACTGTATAGATGAATGATATTAACACAGACATTCTAAAAATTATATAGTTTCTGGAATTTGGATATGTCCTGGTCTAATGCTATAGTTCTAGCTGTCATCTTAAAATGTTGTCTGTCACTTCTTTATGGATTACACTGTAATAAGATGTTTAACCATGCCTTTTAAGTCTTGTCATTTATAGACAGTTATCCTTGTACTCTGATGCTGTTACAAAAGTGCTTCCTCTTCAAGAAGATTGGGTCGGGCTTCCCTGGTGGCGCAGTGGTTGAGAGTCCACCTGCCAATGCAGGGGACACGGGTTCGTGCCCCGGTCCGGGAAGATCCCACATGCCGCGGAGCGGCTGGGCCCGTGAGCCATGGCCGCTGAGCTTGCGTGTCCAGAGCCTGTGCTCCGCAACGGGAGAGGCCACAACAGTGAGAGGCCCGCGTACCGCAAAAAAAAAAGAAAAAAAAAAAAAGAAGAAGATTGGGTCATTTGTAGAGACGTGGATGAATCTAGAGACTGTCATACAGAGTGAAGTAAGTCAGAAAGAGAAAAACAAATACTGTGTATTAACACATATATGTGGAACCTAGAAAAACGGTACAGAGGAACCGGTTTGCAGGGCAGAAATTGAGACACAGATGTAGAGAACAAACGTATGGACACCAAAGGGGGAAAGCGGCAGAGGGTGCGGGGGTGTGACGAATTGGGAGATTGGGATTGACATATATACACTGATGTGTATAAAATGGATGACTAATAAGAACCTACTGTATGAAAAAATAAAATAAAATTCAAAAACAAAAGAAAATTCACAGGAAGGCTACAGAAGTAGTTACAATAGTCCCACATAAGATGACTATGCAAGGATTCCAGTCCACACCAACTCAAAACAAGAAGCTGTCCTGCCCCCTGGGGTCTCTAGATCAGGCATCCAGAGATTTTTACTCCCTGACAGGCAGGGTTGACACCTCTACTCAGCCCTGAAGCAGTTACAGAAAGACCATCACCCCTCTGCTTCCCATAAGATTATGGGAGTGAAATCTCTGAGTGGGGAATGAGACAGGAAGGGGGCAGGGCACAACGTTTAAAAAGAATGACATAGCTGGAGGATACAACATAAACTCATTAGAACCAAATAGGTCCAAGATGGTGGATGAGTTGACTTCCACTGTAACACATCAGGAAGCTAAATGACACACCCACAGGCGCCATGACAGTTCCTAGGCTGACCATAAAGGTCAAAAAGTGGGCCAGGGCTTCCCTGGTGGTGCAGTGGTTGAGAGTCCGCCTGCCGATGCAGGGGACACGGGTTCGTGCCCCAGTCCGGGAAGATCCCACATGCCGCGGAGTGGCTGGGCCCGTGCGCCATGGCCACTGAGCCTGTGCATCCGGAGCCTGTGCTCCACAATGGGAGAGGCCACAACAGTGAGAGGCCCGCGTACCGCAAAAAAAAAAAAAAAAAAAAAAAGTGGGCCATGGCTCAATCCTGGAAATCCTCACCCCTCCCCCAAAACAGCTAGAATACTCCTCCCACTCATTAGCCTACGAAATTACCCACCCCTATAAAAACTGACAACCCCCATACCCTGGTGCCTTTCACCTTCTGAGATGGCCCACACTGTCTATGGAGTGTGCTTCTTTCTCTTAAAAAAAAAAAAAAAAAATTCCAAAGCTTTGCTTTATGTTAAGATAGTGATTTAAATCTGACAGAACTTAAAATTCCTGTGATCTAGTACTGATTACGTCTCTATGAAATCCTATCAGACTCCACTAATTGTTCTAATGGTATCAAAATTAAAAGATTATATTCTGGGACACACAATCTTTCAAATCAAATTATTTCCACATATTACTTCCTATATAAATTTTTTACAACAATTAAAACAAAATGTGATTTGTCATTTTAACCATCTCAAACGCTATTTTAAATACATTAGTACTTTAAGGAAACATTAAATATTTCTATTTCTGTATCTATCCAAAGGCTCTTTCTGACATTGTACTACTATTAGTCTCAATTATGAACCTAACAAAGCACAACTCAACTTCTTTATTAGATAAGAATTAATGGTAATAATCTATATTAAATACAGCATACTGGCATTCATTAACTAGTATGCCAACTGGGAGACTGCAACTTTCAATTTTTCTGGATGCATTAAAAACTTGATATTCTAACTCAGAACAAATTTTTCATTAAGTGAACTCAAGATAGAGCAATCAAGACCTGCTTTACTATTATCCTAAATTAAACTGCCCCCCTATAGTATTCCTTCTAAAGGAACAGCAAACAAGCCGTGTTTTGAGCTACAATTCCCTTTGTTATTACTGACTGTATCAATACTAAAGACCAAATCCTGGCTGGCCAGAGACAAAGTGGCCTGGCATGTATAGATGAGCCCTTAGGAATTAAAATTGGGAGAAGAACTCAAGATTCAAGTATGTAGTTAGTAAATACTGAAGCAAAATGAATGTATAAAGGGAAGTCATGAAGCAGTATCATATCCATGAAGCAAGCCCATGTCATGAGAAAGCTGTAATTATTTGTAAACCACAACAGAAAAAGAGATAAAGACTAGAGAGAATGACTGATTGAACCAGTAGTGAGATGCCGGCTGAGGAGATACATAGGTAATTCATGTTTATAGCTAAGCACTAAAGAGAAGAGTCAATTTTTTTTTTTGCTGTTGAGGTCCCTAACCTTGCATCTACTCCTATTGGGGTCCGACGATGGGGAAGCGGGCTGCGGATGGGCCGCCCGTTGGACAAACTTGGGTCACTCAGGGATGCGTCTCTAAGGGGACAGAGTGCCAGTGACTCAAGCCCGTATTTCTAGCTCTTACGCCTCGGTAAGGCTCTCCCCTTCCCTTCCCTCAACCTCTGCCGCCAACTCCGTCAGGAAAACAGGAACCGCCTCGTCGTCCCGCCACCAGGCCTTTTACAAAGTCCCTCAATATCTGACTTCTCTCACCGGTCCCCTCGGGTCTTGGAGGATAACGACAAGCTCTTTCCTTACCTCTCCCAAATCATCCTCTCCAGAGAGGGAGAGCGGAGAGGATGGGTGTCTGGTCGCGTTAGCATCCCGCAGCTGCCGCGCCCACCATCCGCTCCACCCCTTCTCGCTCCCAGCTCTCCCCTCACCCCCCTGAGGCTCGGGCTCCCATCCGAGTGAGGAGCCGAAACAGAAGGCGGAGAAGGGCGCGCATGCGCGCCGCGGGTGGAGCCACGGGGCAAAGAACCGGAAACTTAGAGACAAAGTTCCGAGCCCCGCCCCCCGCTCAGCAGACCCGCCGCCCCGCCGTCCCGCCGTCTGGCCCTGCGGACCCACCACCGATCCACCGACGGATTGCCGATCTGCCCAGCTATCGCGTGCGCCATGTCTGGTTCCTCCAGCGTCGCCGCTATGAAGAAAGTGGTTCAACAACTCCGGCTGGAGGCCGGGCTCAACCGCGTGAAGGTGAGCGGGGGCGGGCGGCTGAGGGGGAGGGGAGGGCGGGGGAGGTGGCGGGGGGAATCCGGCAGGCGAGCTGGCGCGGCGGGCGAGGCTCGCGTCCGGCTCTCGCCACCCCTAGGGAGGACGCGCTCTCGGCGGCGGCGATCTCGGCGGCCAGCTTTAGAAAAGTAGCGGCGCGGGTCGGCGCTGTGGTTTGGGGGGCAGGTTAGTGTGCCCTTCCGCCCCAAGACTTTCCAAGGCGAGCTGGCCCTGGCTTGAACAGCGGCTTTCCGCATTCCGGCCCTCCTCTCCGTCTCCCTCCCCCCGTAGTGACTCCGCGGCCGTGCTCGCCAACAGCTGTTCCTCCGCGCACAGTCCGCACCCTTCCCGGCCCTCTCGACCAGCTCCTCTGTTTTTTGTCACCCGACGGGGTTTTATCCGACTTTTGATTTAGAAGTATTTTTTCTTTGCATTTCAGAACTTTCCCAAATCCACTCCCTTTAGTAGTAGAGTCTTACTTCCAGCTCCTCTCATTCACCGAACACACACTTGAAAACGAATTCTTGCATAACTTTAAAGAAGCCTGTTTTGGAAACGTTCTCAATGTCTAAGGTTACCACTGGTGCCCTGTACAGCCTCGTACAAAGCGTGCATTTCGTATCTGTTTGGCACCGTTTGCTGTGTTGTGACTTTGGGTATATCTACTGGTCTGCGCGTACCCGAAAAAGTAATTAGGGTGGACCAGTTTTATTTATTTTGGCATCTGTTTAGCATTGATCTTGTCCTGGGGTATTTACTTTGGGGAAAAAGCCTTTTGTGTCTGGTGATATGACAACCTGATGTTCAAGTGCTATTTCGAGTTTCCTGATTTTTTAAATCCTGCGTGGATTGGCTTCTTTCTGGTGCGGGTCAGTTTACGTGTGAAACACTTGTAATTAAAAAAGAAACAGAAGAGTATAAAGCATGCACTCTGTTGAAAGAAAAAGCCAGTTTCCAAGATGATTTGATTCTGTACTCATTAGGCTAGTTTTTACTTCCCCCTGAAATGTTTTGTGGAGTAAGATGGTCTCCTATTTACCCATTTCCTTAAGTAGAAATGTCAGGGACCTAGTTTACTCAGTTGTGGTCATCTCGGGAGGGAAGGGAAATTCCCATCAGTCTTGGGGTGGGATTCTCCTCTCTTCCTGTCCTTTAAGTGTTGTAAACTCCATTGCTGTCTCGAATCCATTTCTCTAATCTCCAGATACTTAACTCATTCCAGTGATTTATGGTTAGTCTTGGCTGGATTTAACTTTGAAATCACTATCTTATTTCAGGCGTGTCTTTATCATAGATTGGAGTGGCCCGGGAAAGAAAAAAATGGGGGGAGGGGAAAAATGCTGGTTGAAAGCAGAAAGTGTTAAGTAGGGGTATTTAGCCCTAATCTCCAAAGAAAATGAGTTGAAGTCCTCAGGCTCACGCTTTACCATGAAAACTCTAGCCCCTCCAATAACTCCCCAGCATGATGCCTTCCTCCTATTCTTAGGAGGGTTTTCGTCGGAATCATTAAAGGCACCACAAGTGATTTGGTTTTATTTAGAAATCTGTTTGTCTGATGCCAGGGCTGTGTGTAGCAAGGAGAGGAGGCATTACACCATGGGACTTTAAATGAGCTTTTCATTAGACATGTTGCAAAATGTGGTTAGTTCAATTTCATTTTTGCTTCTGTTTTACCCATGACTCTATGCTAGATGCTTTTGTAGTGATATTTTACTTTCGAATTACCACAGCTTTACTTTTTAAACCTTTATGTTTGAGTAGTTGATAGAAACTATCACAAATGCTTGACAGACTCTCCCACTGTTGGGTAACCATACACTTAACCCAGGGCACTTTTGAAAGAGGGCACTGATTATTATGCCAGGATTATAGGGTTTCAGCCTCCTGGATGGTGATTATTACAGTGCCATAGGGGCTAGAAGCTTGTTAGAGTTTTAAGCCTTTGTGTCCATTTTCCCACTGATTGGAATTGTCACTGATCATTTTCTCACTGATGGTCACTTGGCTGATCTCTTGTCACTGAGATCTCAATTTAAATGTCACCTCCTCAAAGACACTTTCTCTTAGGTCCTGATCTAAAAAAACACTTGTTTTTCTGCAGAGCACCTTGTCTCTTTTCATCTGAACTGTTAGCTCCATAACAGCAGGGATCTGGCTGTTCTTACATATTCTCAGTCCCTAAAATTATATTTGGCACATAGAGGTGATGAGAAGTTTGTGAAAGGGAGTTAAGCTGGCGCCTACCTACACTTTAGGCAGATAATTAACACATTCTTTACTGCTGGTTAATGTGAATGAATGAAACCATGTTATACAACAGTGAAAAATTATACCACCATTCCCCCACTGTAGCTACACCTTTTAGGGGAGCAGGGTACCCATTTGTTATAGTACTTGGTACCAGGAATTTATAAACTGTTTACTCACACAGTTGCTAAATAAATTCATGGAACTCATTACCCTGGATTGGTATATAAGCCAAACATATAAATTAGATTCCAAGAAGAGTTTAGATTCATCTCATGATGATGGATCCTTTTATCAGGTTAATGTCTGGGGTACAGCTGTCATGTGCAGAAGTTCTTTGTAGAGAGCATTTGTGATGCCCTAAGCTCCCTTTCAAAGGCTAAATATTACCCAGCCAGACTGGACACCTGTTCTCACCCTCCTTAAGGGAAGTTAAAACAATAAAATAAATGATTATCTTCTCCATCTTCTTAAACCTCAATTCAAGAGTTAGGATATTGTATGTATTTGAGGCATCCTTTAGTCATTCATGTTATATATCTGAACTATTCAGTTTATTGTTTTGGTGTCCTGTATCACACCTTACCAGAATATATACAAATAGTAGATGTTTAAGTGATACATGATATAAAGTTATTTTAACTATGAAGCCACAGAAGTTCCTAAGTCCTGTTTAAATGGCTTTGCATACATATATGAAAATTATTAAATCACATTTAAGGCATACACAGTTTCATAAAGGCAGGCTGCTTGGTAAAGTTGTTAAAATAAACTGAAGTTTGCTAATCAGCCTTTCAGTCACATGACCCTGAGCAGAAACTGTCACTGTCCAGTTTTGTAGCATTAAACAGCTGATGGTACATATACCAAAACAATAAACTGAATGGTTCAGATTTTGAACATGATCTTCACTCAGAGTAGCATTTTCCCATTTCCCATACTGCTTTCAAGACAGAGTGATAGTTTACTAGCATTTTAACACTTTTTAACCTATAATATCCTGTGTACTGCTTTTAATAAAAGACAAGATGTTGAGTACCCTCAAGGTTACACTAGAACAACCTATTTATTAATAAACTAGCAGGATGTGCTGTGCTTTACAAATAAACAGAATTGTACTGTTCGTACTTATTTACATGCAGTGTTTTAAGTATAAAAGCTCAGTATATGACTGTGGAGCTTCAATTAGTATATTTCTTTTTTGAGTTAAGAGAAGTGTTTATTGGCAGGTATTTTTGAAGATTTGAGAAAAACTTCATTAAAACATTGTCAACACCTTCCACCCACTTCCCCCACCCTTTGTTATATACAGGTTTCGCAGGCAGCTGCAGATTTGAAACAATTCTGTCTGCAGAATGCTCAACATGACCCCCTGCTGACTGGAGTATCTTCAAGTACAAATCCCTTCAGACCTCAGAAAGTCTGTTCCTTTTTGTAGTAAAATGAATCTTTGCAAGGTAAGTTTCCTTAAATTAAAACAACAAAGCCCCACACAGTAGGGATAACTAGTCAGGTCTCTTTCTTTGCAGCACTTATAAGTTGAGCAAAATCATCCCATACACTTTTGTTTGGCACTTAGAGTTTCCAGTCTTTGTTTTGTGAGGATTGATGAAATTTGCTGATTTAGTAGTCATAAAGACTAATTGTTTCTATTTTACCATAAAGGATTAAGTAGAGGATTTAATAACCATAAAGAGGATATAGGAGTTACTAGAAAATTTCACTGCTGTGACAAGTCATGTTACCTTTTATAGCATTGGCCTAATGGTGTATTCTGGTGCCCCCAAATACTAGTTTAGTTTGATTTTTGTGTATCTAGCAAATATTTAGACATTGGACTACCCTGGCTGGTCCAGTGGTTAAGACTCCGTGCTTCCAATGCACAGGTTTGATCCCTGGTCTGGAAACTAAGATCCCACATGCTGTGCGGCCAAAAAAAAAAAGAGGATAAATCAGTAAATAACAGCACATTATTAAAAAAAAAAAATTAGACATTAAAAAAAAATCTGCAGTGTTCATGGTGGTGGCTTTTGAAGTACTATCAACTGATTTGGATTAATGATTATCTAATAGAACAGCATAGCAAATAATTGGGAGTTGTGAATGCAAGAGAAACTGAAGAGATAGCCGAATAAGCTGACATGGTGTTGGCATTTGGACTGGGGAACAACAGGTTTTAATTTTATTGTTGTTAGGTAAAGATAAAATGAGAGAAATGAAGTATATATGTTCATGGTGGCAGACAGTGGATTGGTTTTCAGAGGATTAAGAAACTAAATTTTGGGCTGGTTTAAAGCATACTTTTATATGTTAACGTGTAACTTACAGAACAAATGTCAGTGTATGCAAAAACATATATCAATCCAAAAGAGATGTGACGAGAAAACATGATGTGGATAATTGAAAATGTAACCCAAGGGTACTACCTTCATAAATCCATAGGACTTTTGTCAGAGCATTTACTCATATTGACCTACGAGAAGCAAACTTAAATAGTGCTTCAAAAAAAAAAGACTGTGTATGGCACACACCATCTACAGACATTCTGACTCCTCCAAGTGCAGGAAGCTGCTTCCTAAAATACCATGTTACACAGTTGTGCCCTCCCTAATTAAACTTTGTAGACTTGGGAGTGTCCAGGAAGTTTGTATAAGTACATGTTTCCAGTAAATACAATGATTGGTTGAATTGGTTAAGATTTTCGAAACACAGGGAAAAAAAAAAAACCCCGCCTTTGAGTTTAAGGGAAGTAATTCTTTTTAAGTCTAGCACCTTCATATTTAACAGGTTAAAAGTCGTTTGCTCCTGGCAGTATTAATTCTTCATGGCAGTTTTGGGAAATTTCATATTTTTACGGTTCCTCTTGTATTCTCTTCACAAAGTGTTTATTTTCATTTAAAATACTGTTAAGCCTGGCTTCTTAATTGGCTGTTAATAGTTTCATTTCATAGGAGTCTGCAGATAAGTGTTTAATGAGTTGCTCAAGGTTAAAATATGGTTGGGATAAGAATCTAGATTTCAAAGTAAAATAATGGCTGTTAATTTTGGCAGTATAATAAGCCCTTAGCTTTGTGGATATTATGATTTGAAACACTTTTGGCTAGGAAAAGAATATTTGGATGTAAAAGCATTTCTTCTCAAACTTGAAAGTAGGTCTGGGATGTTATGCTGATGTTGGTTGTCCTAGGCACACTGAGTGGCATGGATGCAAAGAGTCTGTATTTAAGTCTTATATTTAAGTCTATATATTTATATAACTTTTTTAAAAGCATAGATAATTTAGCAACAGATAGTACAAGGTATTAAAATAGAAGTTATCATGATCCACATACCTAGAAATAACCACTGTTAACAGATACTTCCTTTTAAGAGAAAAAAACAATCATTGAAAAATAGTGATCATAGTATGCACAGTTTTTTTCTACACTTGAATTTTCTTATTTCATTTAATAGTCTTTGTAAGTTCCCTGGTGGTCTAGAGGTTAGGATTTGGTGCTCTCATTTAATAGTCCTTGTAAATGTGGTTGTACTATAAGTTAAATTATACTTCATCGAATATTGAGGTTTCCAAATCTGAGGATACACTGAGGTGAAGATCTTGGTACCCATTGTATACTTTACCCATTTCTTTAAGATAAATTCCCAGAAGTAACAATAAGGAATGACATTTAAAATGTAATAACCTTGAAAACTGCCAAATTAAACTTTGCTATTCCACCTGGAGCTTAAGAGTACTTTTTTGCTGAGCCCTTGCCAAACAGATCTCAGATTCTTTGCTACTTTCTTCTGCCTATCTCATTTTTGTAATTTGCATTGATTAACTGAGGCTACACATTGTTTTTTTCAACACTGATTTTGTTTATGCTTCTTGAACATTTTTGTAATGAAGTAACAGAAATTTTTAACTAAGTATAAAAAACCAGGTGTCTACTCTCCTGAATTAAATGGTTTACCGTTTTTTTTTTTTTGGTTGCTTTGTGTGGCTTGTGGGATCTCAGTTCCCAGATCAGGGATTGAACCCTGGCCCTTGGCAGTGAAAGCCCCAAGTCCTAACCACTGGACTGCCAGGGTTCCCAACTTTCAAGAAATAAAAGATACTTTTCCCACCTTTCCATATAGATGACTAAACCTGAAGTTGTTATGCCCCTGTTTTTACTTTTTATATATATTTATTGTTTTATAGTTTTAAAACATAGGTATTATTTTTAAGGAACAGCTATTACTGCATTACTTTTGAGATTCGTGTTAATCCATAGATTGTTTTGTCGTTTTAATTGCTGTATAGTATTCTGTCATGTGTATGAACCTTAGTTTATTTATCCATTGGCTTATTGAGTTGCATTTAGGCTACTTCCAGTCCTCTGCTGTTAAACCATTACTATAGTCAATATCCATGTACACATTTCTCTTTGTATATAGGTTTATGTGGGTAAATAGAAGGGATTGCATCTTGCTCTCCTCGATACTATTGCTCATTTCCTAGAGGTGTTCAGATATTTCTCAACTTCAGAGATTTTTATATTAACCTCTTTAAAAATTCGGATCCAGAGTGTATTTTGGCAATGATATTGGCAAGTCAAACTTTAAGTCTGTTTATTTCTAAACCCTAAGTTACATATACTTGAGAGTGGTTATAAATCATAAGTTATATATATATACTTGAGAGTGGTTAAGAGAAAGTTACATTTTACACCACAGGCATTTTCTATCCTGTTTCTCATTTTTTTCCCTAGAAACCCTGTGATGTCTGTTTGTTTTTTTTTTTTTCTTTTTTAAACAGGCTTAGTTTAATTGAAAGCATTTTATAAGCTGACATTCAGATGAATACCTTAAATGTAATGTAAGATGTACTGCTATTCAGAAAAAAAGCTATTGTTCTTATGATACTTTACCCTAATTCACTGGGTTTTTTTGTTTTTTCATTTCAGGTTTTTAAACCACTTTTCATAAACCGGTGAATATTCAAAGGAAAGCTAAATCTGAAGCCTGTACAAAAGCCTGTCTCTATAACATGTGCCATACTATACAAACTTCTACTTTTGTCAGTCTACCTCTCTGAATATTCATGAATTTCTGTTTCACAAGGGTAATTATTTTATATACACTGGTGGCAGCATACAATAAAATACTTAGTATAAAAGTTTTTGGATTAATTACTGGTATTAAATATACTATGTATAATATTAATTTGTTTTGAACACCTAAGAGCAAAATGACAATTTCCCCATCATCTTTAAGGGGTTAAAATTTTTAGTGTTTGTTCCAGCAGCTCATCTCACATAACTTTATGCCATACATTTGCAAGACTGTTAGAGAATTAAAGGTAAGTTGCAAATTTGTTCTTTTAAGGTCAGGAGGAGGCTGCTAATAATACTAGTTTCTATTTTTTTTTTTTTTTTAACATCTTTATTGGAGTATAATTGCTTTACGAATACTAGTTTCTATTGATGAGTTATTTACAGGGTTAACTTTGTTTTCTAATGAACTACTTTGTGGGGTATTACCATTACACCTAGAAGTTATTTACTTCATAACACATGGCTCTCCTAGTAAGGACAGTAAAGACTAGATATATAAGAATTCCATTACAAGATGGAAGAGAAAAATTTCAGAGCCCGAGGTACAATACAGTACAATGTAATGAGGTAAAGAAGTACCAAGGAAAAGGGAACCAAAGATTAGCATCAATAATTTGCAACTTTTGCTTTTAGTCCTTGGCAAAACACTTTGCTTTAAAAATTTCTACCCTTCTTGAAAGGCTTAAGGAAATGTTAAAACAGCCTAGAAACATCACCCCCAAATATATGTATTTTCGGGAAACAGAATTAAAACTATGAAGATCAGTCTGATAGAAAACAGTGGGCTACACAGTATTTACCAAGCACTGTATTTCTCTCCAGCCCACATGTTCCATGAAAGTACAAACAGGAATGTTAGTTTGACTACTGATCCCAATTTCAACTATTAACAATTACCTAAAAATAAGAGAATTAAGCTTTAGGAAACTTGAATTTATAAACTCTTACCAAAATGACCTTTTATTTGCTACATAAATAGTGAGTGGCAATTCATGGCACTTGGTACTTTATCCAGACATGACAGAAGGCTTATGAAATCAGTAAATGCCATTTTGAAAAGGTTCTTCTTTCATAAATTCAAGATAGGCCTGTTCAGCACAATCCAATACTATCCCCTCAGTACTTTATAAATGGAATTTTCTTCTACTTGTATCCATTTCCCGGGGCTGAAAATTAGAAGAAACAACAACAACAAAAGTAAACAATCTGTAACAGTGCTATAAAAAAAGGACCTCTAGGTTTGTCTCTGAGACAGTTTAAGTCTTTAGCTCTAATATAAAAAGTATTGGAAATTACTGCTCCAATATGTGTGTGTATAATAGATATAAAATTTTAGTCATACTTAGGTGAAATATTTCTTATTAGGTTGAAAAATTATGTGTTTTAAAGTATTAAAGTTTTCATTTATAATTTAAAATGATCTCCAAACCTCTATAAAACCTTCTATAAAATAATTTTAACTTTAATGTAACCTCTATAAAACCTTCTATAAAATAATTTTAACTTTAATGTAACTTCTATATAACTTTTATAAAATAATTTTCAAGCATGCTGCAGAATCATTATAACACAGGCTCATAAACAGACTGCTGGCCCACTCCCTAAGTTACTGATTCAGCAGGTCTGTAGCCCAACAGTCTGCCTTCGTACCAGGTTCTTAGGTGATGCTACTGGTCCCACTTTGGGAACCACTGATCTTTAGGGATATTTCAGATGAACCAGAGTTACTCTCTAGACCAGAACACTGTATCAGAGATTGATTATTGCTAGCTCCTGGGAAGAAATTCAGAAGCCTAACTTAAGGTATAAACACCCAAAGCTTAAAGTACGTTGTTTTATTCTCATTCCATCCTTTTAAAATTATCTAAATGGCTTTTCATAGAGTAAGCACATACCTTATGTACCCATTCATATTCTCCATATTTAGAATCAAAGGTTCCTTTCTGAAGAGATCTTAATTTTAAGGTAAAACGTGGTCCAAGTTCCTGAATTCCCACTTTCTTTTCACTCTTGAATATGTATCTTCAAAGATAAAATAGAGTTAAGGAAATTAGTGTGAATGAACCCAAACTGTTATTTCTTTAATATGACAGTTTGAAAGATAATCTCTCATCTACAATACTTGTCAGAATACATTAGAAAACAGGTTTGTGTGTAAAATGTATTTCATCATTGAAGTCCAAGGAGTTTCTCACCTGTGAAATCTGAAGAAGATATAATCCCGTTGATTGTGGAATGTGGCAACCTGCCTTCCAATGAATTGAGGATTATGGGGAAAGAGAGATGCAAACATACGTCCAACAGAATGACCCAGCCGTGTTGTAAAATTGTTTAAAATTATTTCAGGTATGTGTTCTGTGGGGTCCTTGCCTCTTCTCTAGAAAAATGATGAAAAGTCACAATAACGATCTCACTGCAATTTCAGGTTTTCGAATTTACATGACATTGAAACACTTTAGTTATCTTAATGGCTTAATCAAACCCATGAAATAAGATTTATCTAAAATTATTTAATATGCAGTGAATGCACCAAAAGAAAGTTCTACTAAAAAGTGACATGTTTCATAGTAACGAAGGCTATTGCTTGTCTGCCATAACTCAATTATAATCTCACAAGAAAACGGTCAGTACACAAAAGTATCCCTTTAACCAGAAGAGCAAATACCATTATTAAAATCAGTTAGATCTATATAGGTTATAGTATTTACTGATCAAATACTGTGAGAAGACCAATGCCAATCAAGGAATGCATAAAACTTACCTTAATTTCTTTACGCAGACGAACACTGCTCATTTTAAAATGAGCAGTTGGGCCATTTGGCAAGTGACTCAGAATTAATCCATCTGTTCACAAAGCTAAGAACACATTTAGATTACATTCTGTAATCTAAGTTTTAAATTGTTTAAATAACTAGTCCTTTGTATGCCCAAAGCCTCCTAAAATCTGTAGCTAGGTAAATAGGTGGGTGCATGTATTCCTCTGGCTTAACAGATTTTCTTACCATACCCAAAACTCAAGACAGAGAAGTCAACCTAAATCTTTCAGAAAAATAAACTAACCTATAGCAGTCCTACTTTTTCTCTTCACAGTATGGTAAATAGCTATAGGGTATGTTCAGCATTCAACTGAAGTAGGTGAAAAGAGCTAAAATCCACTACTATAATACTCTAAAAGGATGAGATTCTAGCATAATTGTAGCATTGCAAATGGAATATAAGTTTACCTCTATGTTCAGAGGCTTTATAACCCTTAAAAGGCACACTCTCATACATATATATGTATGTCTTACACATTTGTTAAGGTCAGGATATGCAGTTTTGAATATCATCCTACAAGACCAGAGACAAACTCTCTTCTGGAAATCAAGGTTATTAGTGTTCTCAAGAGACATGGTCTTAATTCTTGGGATTACTGTACCACAATTTAAAATCAACCTATTAATTAAACACTTACCCTACCACAAACAGAATTAGGCTAGACACTCTAAACTACACATGAAGTATAAGACAACTACCTACAATCAGCAGGATTAGCAGCCCAAGGGCTTTAAAAGTTTGGAATGCGGCTAAACTACACAACATACCCAAGTCTTTGTAGCACAACTTGATTCTTTCAAATACTTAACCTTAAAAGGAGGTCAGAATTCAACTGTTTTTCTGCACACAATATGAGTTTTATAAAACAGATGTTGCCGTATTTAAAAGCCATCAACATGATGAATTGGGAGACTGGGACTGACATGTATACACTGATGTGTATAAAATGGATGACTAATAAGAACCTGCTGTATAAAAAAATAAAAATTCAAGATTAAAAAAAAAAAGCCATGGACATTCTCCCATTCATCTACTGAAAAACTATGGTGGTTATTATCATCACCCTCCTCCTCCCATCAAATCCTATCTACTGCTTTTACCTTCCTAAATTCCTCACTTCTATAGCTTCCTCTTTACCCCAATTGTTACTGTCTTAATTGAGGTCCTTGAGATTTTCCACCCAGATTAGGAAAACAGTATTTTGCTTGGTTTGACCTCTCTCACCATTTCAAGTACATCTTCTAATATAGAATAAATCAAGTTGGATTCAGGCCTTGGTTCTACAGTTACTAAAGCTATGGGACTCGGCTTTGTCACTGTATCTGTACCATAGCTCCTCGTGTGCTATATGAAAAACTGGATACTGTGAGAGTTTGACAGCTGTAGCTAATTTCAAACTACTCTCACCACAGACTCATCTATAGATTTAAGACATCGTCATAGCAGTCATACTGTGGCTCCAAACTACCTTTCTAACCTGTTGTCTCCCCATATTGCTTCCAAGCTGGTAGACACTGACACAGTCTCTCACACACCACACACATTAATCCTATCGTGATTTTTGCTCATTGTATTTCAAATATCTACAATATTTTACTCATCCATTAAGACCCACTTCAAATGCCACCTCTTTACAGTCAAAATTAAGCTCTAAATAGTCTCGATCTCACTGTTACTTACTACAGCACTTGTCATTTGAGTTACAGTCATGTAAAATGCCTTTCTTCCCAACAAATCTATTAACTAATTTCTGACAGATACTAGTGCCTACTACATAGCAGATTATCAGTAAATGTTTGAATTCTTTCCTTCCCTTCAAGGACTCACCAAAAGTTCAACCTCATGAGGTACAGGCAAAAGTATTTCTGTATCATTTGCACATTGAAAAAATCATAAAATCTTGAGGGGGTAAAGAGAGGTAGAAGTCATTAGTTTCAACCTAAATCAAGGCTTGAATCCTTTCCAGAACATTCCCACTAAATTGTGGTTTGTGTCAAAAGAAACTACAGAATCCAGATGTATCAATTCCTAAGTACCTGCATTGTACAAAAGGCTTTATGTTATTGCTAATCTCTAACCCAAACCATGTAAAATAGGAGTCATACTGATTTTAGCAATGAGGAAGAGTCTGAGAAGGGTCAGGTAGATTCGACCCAAGTTTCAGTGCTACATGGCAGTAGATCACAACTGGGGTGGGGTTACACCTGAGCCCAAACTCTTGACTGGTAATTTCCATTTAGAAATGTATAGAGGCATTTTGTTACGATTGATACAAAGGCTAGGAATGTAAAACAACCTATAAGCTGCCAAAAGCAGAAAGACTTATCCTACCTCAAATTTCCATTTAGAAATAATGAATAGAGGAAGTCTGTCTCTCTCCAGAAAAAGCCTTCATGCTTCCCACTGCACCACAATTAATAAAATGCCTAGTACAGGTCAGGCACTATGCCTCTGAAACATAATACATTTAATGTGATCCTTGTGGGAACCCCAAAGATAGGTATTATTTCCTACATTTAAAATATGAGGAAACTAAGAAACTTGACTAAATTCACAAAAATAGCAAGTAGTGAACTCTGAATTTGATATCACATCTGCCTGACCCAAAGCCACAAGGCTACTGGTAGGATAACAAAGTTCTTTTCTAGAATAAGTCAAAAATGTATACCACTATAAATTTCCACCATATGGCACACAGTAGCCCTTCCTACTGTCAATATATCTTTAGACAGCTGTCATGTTCCCACTTTCTTATTTCCAGGCTAGATATCTTCAATTCTTTCAACTTTTCTCCAAGTGCCATCATTAGGAGTCATGATTTGTTATTTGTGAGCCCACATCAAGTCTCTAGGAATCACCATTTCTATTAGGTGCTTACAAATTATTCTCCCTTTAATTCTACATTTTGGGGGGGGGGATCATGGCAAAGATTAGCCACTGTCCTTCCTCCATTTACCTGTCTCATATCTTCCTTAGAGCAACAGTCTCATTTACAAGTTTCTGCAGATATTCTTTGCCTTATCTTACAATCTCTTATCCAAGATGGACTTCCAGTCCGGCTTACCAACGTGCATTAGTCTGAAGATCATTCTATGTGATCAAGAGATTTGTTTTCCTAGTGTCTTTCACTGATACTCTGACATCAGCTGCATTACTAGATGTTAATCAGAAAAGAAAATGAAACATCTTTGAAATTATAAAAATTAACATCCAGGCAGGATTATACTTATAAAACTTCCAATCATGAGGACTTTTTGAAACTGCTGCATGATTCTGTATCAAAAAATTAAGTCTTGGGTAATTTTCCCTCAGTATCTGTGGGGGACTGGTTCTGGGACCCACCATGGAGGGCAGATCCAAAGATGCTCAAGTCCCTTATATAAATTGGCATAGTAGAGTAAGCCCTCCAACTTTCAATACAGTTGGTCGAATCCACAGATGCAGAACCCGTGGACAGGGAGGGCAGACTGTATATATATATATATATATATATATATATATATATATATATGTTTATATGAATAGGAGTAAGCAGTTTCACATTTGGATTACTTGAGTAGCCTAATTATTTCCTTAAATCAGGTCTGTGTACTGATGGTACCTTAATTACCTGACGGTTAACTTACCCTCTAGGGTGTCCAATATGGTAAACAGAAAAATATTAATACATTTTGGGTAAAAAGACAACACAGTATTATAAAGTAAAGAGAATATAAGCTTTCTAAAGGCAAGAGATGGATAGAATGTTTATTGAATTGATAAATGCTTGCTTCTTAGCAAAGAGTTACTAGCAGGCTTGCTAGTAATGAAATGATGATGGGTTTTTAACTGCCAAAAATAGAGGAACACAGACCTTGCCACCTTATGTTGGGAGGGTAGTTTTAAAAAGGCAACAACTACCTTAAAACAAATCTCTTCTGGAATAGTTAAGTATTCAAGAGATTTTTGTTATTTGTTACAGTAACTCCCGATCCGGCCAAATTATAAAATGACCAACAATATACCACAATACAAAGCTAGTTTTAGTCTTAAAAGTCTCTGAAAAGCAACCTGTACAAGTGGGTAAAGTCTTTAACTTACATTGAAAACAATAAAAGCCATAAAAATTATTTAGATTAAAAAAAACAGCTTGTAAACCATTATTTTTTAAAGTGTTCATTGATTTAAGAAAAAAAATGTTAACCTGGCAGCAGAGAAGTACTGTCCCTATTGTTTAACTCCTTAATTTTGACTCATTCAACTGGCCATCTTTAAAGTTACTGAGTTCACAGGCCGCCAGGAGATGAGTAAGTAAAACAACAGCAATGACAAAAAATCTAGGCATCCTTTATATGATCTCTTACCTCACAACAGGAAGAAACACCTAGGGTTTAGGGAACACATTCACCTCAGATCTGTGATTCATGGTAAAAGGATAGATTATTCTTGGCATCTGATATACTAGTTAATACATAATATGGGCCCAAATACCTACTTTAAAAATGCAATCCTGTGAAACCACCTCTGGCACCATAAAATCTAGTCATATCAAATGACAGTTGCAGATCCCCAACTGCGTCAGCACCTTCACGCCTCTATCTTTCCAAATGGTTATTTCTGCAGTGGGTACTCTTCCTCTTCCTTACCTCATTCACCCATATCCACCTAGATGGGGTTTAAGCACTTTTTTCTATCAAGTACTTCCTCCCTGATATCCCCAGGGCAGATTTTTACCAGAGTTTGCACTGTATCCTGTATTTCTCTCTTAATTGTACTATCCACACTATATTTTTGTTTGTTTACATGTTTCTTTTCTCCTACTAGATTATGAATTCCCTGAAGCTGTCTCTTGTTTAGACAGGAAAACTTCCGTAAAAAAACAAAGGATACTTGGTATTTTACGATCTTCATTAATAACAATCAGGTCTGTGAAATCTCTTGAGATGCACTGTGGAATAATTTTTTTCAGAGCCAGTCCTCTTCTGTAATAAACATGTGAGTTTGGTATAACTGTGGAGAGCTGTTCACAGAGTCGTACTGTTCTCTATAAAACAAAATAACAAAAATCCTCAAAAGTGAAAAAAGAATACAAATCTGTGTAGCACATATATATAAGCAAAGAAGTAATTATTATAAGATAGTGTTATTAAAAGAGAGCAAGGCTAGGGAAAGAGTGAAACCTAAACAATGTTTCATCCATCAAAGGCTGATCAGCCTAAAGCAGTGGTTCTCAACTAGGGACAATTTTGCCATCAAGAGATGTTTGGCAACATCTGGAAGCATTTCTGGTGGTTATGACTGGTGGTAGTATGGGGTTTGGCTGCTACGGATATCTAGTGCATAGAGGCCAGAGATGCTGCTAAACATCCTATAATGAACAGGACAATCTGCACAATAAAAAAATTATCCAGCCTAAAATACTAACAGTGCTGAGGCTGAGAAAGCCTATCCTGAAGAATCATGCTTAGTGAGCCTATATCACATCAGCATTACATTTTATTTAGCTTATTTACAGGCATAATCTAAGGCAATTACTAATAATTTAACTCTTCTGAACAGAGTTCTCTTAAATAATCTAAGTAATGCAAGAAAATTAAGAATTCAAGAGCTATACTAATTGATATGTTTACCCCATGAGGTCTATCTGATGTAGTGATGAGAATCTTGGGAGAAGTTTGTCTGTTGAAGTAAGAAGCAAATTCATCCGTAGCTTCATCATAAGCAACCTGAAAACAGAGAGAGAGATAATTTTACATCAAACATTCTACTGGGCCAGCATTTTAAAAGTAGTTACAGTAGGGATTCTATAACACTGACTACCTAGCTGACTGGTGATTTAAAGAGGGCCCAGGAGGGACTTAGGTTAATGGCAACGTGAAGAGGTTGGGTAATTTTCTATCTGAAGAATACTAATATAAAACTGGAAAAAAAACTGTCAAAAACAATTTCAAGACACACACTGAGATGCATTTATTCTTGAAAAATGGATACATCTGTGGGCAAGAACATCAAGAATCTTGCCTAGAGCTATTCCATTTCCTCTATCAACCTTGTTGGTGAAAACAGTAACTTTACCAACTTCAGGACTGATAGTAGGCGACAACCAGCAATCCTGAATCCAGAGGTGGTGGACCAGATTCAAGGAGGGGCAGGTGTGAAGACGCTAGCTTTGCCAATCCAAGGTTACAGGCCCAGTTCAGGGTAGATGTGGGCCAGCCAAAAATTTAATGAGAGCTCTGGAAGTAAAAATCATAGAGGGACTGGCATAATCTCTCCCAAAATCCCTGACTGACAGCTAAACTACACATGAGAGAGACCTGAGAATCCAGTGCACCTAAAAGGCAAGGGAGACTTGAAAAATGGCTGCAACTCTGAATGCATTCCTCAATCTACACACAGCTCAGCTGGCAGAGGGTATGTATGTCTTAGGGGTTCATGGTGTCGCACCACAACCTCTACCCAAATCACTGGCTGACCATTAATCCACGCAAACACTGGGACAGTCCCTAGGGAGGCATGTTAAAAATAACAAACTGAGTAGTAACATAATGCTACTGTCAGACAGATTCCAGTTTAAGTCCAGACAAGTTACTAAAACAAAAAGAATCAATAACCCTTAAAAAAACAAAAACAATCCAGTTATTGCAATGTTTTCTAAAATGTCCAATTTTCAACCAAAATATTAGATATACAAAGAAACAGAAAAGTATGACTTATAATCAGGAAAAGAGAAGTCAATAAAAACTGACTGAGTGGGCCCAGATGTTGAATTTAGTGAAAATTTCAAAGCAGCTGTAACAGATATATTCAAGGAATTAAGGAAAAATACAGGCTTAATAGCAGATCTAAGATACAGAATAATTAATAAACTTGAAAATAGATTAATAAGTATCCAATCCGAAGAATGGAGAACACAATCATAGCAAAAGGAGCAAAGCTGCAGAAACTTTTAGAACACTCATAACCATTTCAACAGTGTGTGTGAAAAGGAAGTCCCCGAAGGAGAGATGAGGGCAGAAAAAAATTTTCAAAGAAATAAAGGATGAAAAACTCTTAACTTAAGGTCCAAACTCAGAAAACCTTAAGTGGAATAAAAAGAAAGAACAACACCTAAACACATCAGTGTCAAACTGGTAAAAGCCAAAAAATGAAAATTTTGAAAGAAGAAAAAAATAAATCACATACATGGGAACAATGATTATTAATGGCTGCTTTCTCAAGAGAAATAATGAAGGTCAAAATGCAATGGAACAAGTTCAAAGTACCAGAAGAAAAAAAAGTCAACCAAGGATTCTATATCCCACAAAATTCTTTCAAAAATGAAGGCAAAATAAGCACACTTTCAGATAAACAAAAGCTGAGATAATTAGCTATCAGACCTGCTATAAAAACAAAGGCTTAAGAAAGTCCTAGAAGCTGAAAGAGAATGATACCAGATGGTAACTCTGATCCACAAGCAGGAAAGAAGAGCACTGTAAATAGGTAATGATGAAGGTAAACATAAAAGACTCTGTGGGTGTGTTGTGTGTGTATGCTCTTAATTTCTTTAAAAAAAACAGGATGTTTAAAGCAGTAATTACAACACTGGGTTTATAACATAGACAGATGTAATATATAACAACGTGTGCTGACAATAATAGCATGAGTAAGAGTGGAGGGTCATGAAGCTATACTGGTGCAAACTTGCTGTATTTTACCAGAATCGTGTCAGTATTTATTTGAAGTAGATTGTGATAAATCATTCTTCAGAATAGATCTTATTTATGCTAGGACATAAATGCTAGGACATTTCTTTAATTGCAAAGGACTGAAATCAAACAAAATATGTCCCAAACCACAATAAAATTGAATTAGAAATCAACAGCAGAAAGGAATCTGGGAAATCCTCAAATATTTGGAAATTAAACAGGACACTTTTTGAAAATCATAAGCCAAAGAAGAAATCACAAGAGAAATTAGAAAATATCTTGAACAGAACGAAAATGAAAACACAACAAGCATACCAAAATGTATGGGATGTGGCTAAAGCAGTGCTTAGGGGAAAACCAGAGCTTTATATGCTTATACTAGGAAAAAAGTATAAAATCAATAGTCTAAGCTTCCATCTTAGGAAGCTAGAAAAAGAAGAGCAAATGGAAGAGCTTTCATTTGCTCTTCCAGGTAAGCAGAAGGAAAGAAATAACAAGGATCGGGGAAAACTAATGAAATAAAAAAATATAGCAAACAAGAAGAAATCATCTTTCATTAAAAGAGGTACTCAGATTTAAACAATAAGGAAAGAAATGCATCTTAAAACTTGGGGGCTATAGCAAAAGTGAATTTTATCACCTTAGTTCCTCATAATAAAAAAGATGAAAATACGCTAATCAAAAAAATAAAAACAATAAACTCATAGTGTAAAAGAAATAAAGGTATGAGGAGATATAAATGAATTAGAAAACAAAGATTCAATAGAGAAGATTAAAGAAAACAGTAGTTTGAAAAGAAAAACAAAACAGATACACCTCTGGTGAAAAGCCCAAATAAATAAAATTAGGAATGAAAATAGGACATTACTGTAGTCTCACTCATGAACACACATGTACATGTTCTAAACAAAGTATTAAAAAACCAAAACAATATGTTAAGATAAAACATCTTTTTTTTTTAAACATCTTTATTGGAGTATAATTGCTTCACAATGGTGTGTTAGTTTCTGCTTTATAACAAAGTGAACCAGTTATACATATACATATGTCCCCATATCTCTTCCCTCTTGCATCTCCCTCCCTCCCACCCTCCCTATCCCACTCCTCTAGGTGGTCACAAAGCACCGAGCTGATCTCCCTGTGCTATGCGGCTGCTTCCCACTAGCTATCTATTTTATGTTTGGTTGTGTATACATGTCCATGCCACTCTCTCACTTTGTCCCAGCTTACCCTTCCCCCTCCCCGTATCCTCAAGTCCATTCCCTAGTAGGCCTGTGTCATCTTAACTAAATTGTATTTATCCCATGAATACAAGAGGTTTAAGATTAGAAAATCTATTTCGTTACTACATTAGTGCAATAAAGGAGAAAACTGCACATTCATCTCAATATCTGCAGAAAAAGTGCATAAATTATCTTAATATTTGCAGGAAAAGCATCTAACTTTCTACATTCCTTCATTAAAAAAAAATCCAGCAAAAAAAGAATGGAATTTCCATAACTCATAAGGAGAATCTACCATTAATGACACAAACATTAATAATGATACACGAAGTATTCTCTTTAAAATCAGTAACATGGCACAGATGCTAATATTGCTTTTTCTATTTATTTGACATGCTGGAGGTTCTAAGTAAGAACGAAAGAAACTGTTAATGGATTGAAAGTAATTAACAAAAACTTATTTGCAGAAAGGATTAAACATGAAATGAAAACAACATTCAGACAAATTATTAGAAATGAATTTAGGTAAACTACTTGTTAGAAGATCATGATCCAAAAATCAATTGCAGGGACTTCCCTGGGCGCAGTGGTTAAGAATCCGCCTGCCAATGCAGGGGACATAGGTTCGATCCCTGGTCCAGGAAGATCCCGCATGCCGTGGAGCAACTAAACTCGTGCACCACAACTACTGAGCCTGCACTCTGGAGCCTGCAAGCCACAACTACTGAGCCTGCGTGCCACAACTACTGAAGCCTGCAGGCCTAGAACCTGTGCTCCGCAGAAAGAGAAGCCACCGCGATGAGAAGCCTGTGCACCACAACGAAGAGTAGCCTCTGCTTGCAGCAACTAGAGAAAGCCCATGCGCAGCAACTAGAGAAAGCCCATACGCAGCAACGAAGACCCAACGGAGCCAAATATAGATAGATAGATGTTTTAAAAAATGTATTAAAAAAATCAACTGCATTTTTGTAAATCAGCAATTTAAACAGTTTTCAAAGAGATGTGCTTTACACTAATAAGAAAAAATGTAAGATACCCAGGAATAGCTCTAACAAGATTCACGTGTACAACCTGTATTAAGAAAACAATGAAATTCACTGAAATACATTTTCAGTATTTAAATAAGACCTAATTAAGCAATATATATATATATCCTCAAACTGATCTGATTTAGTACAATTTATAATTTTATATGGAAGACCAAAGGTCCAGGAAGAGAACACTCCTGAACAGAGGGATTTGAGGATGGTAATGGGGAGGGGCATCTTGCCCTAACAGGTATCAAAACTTATCATGAAGCTAAATAATTAAGAAAGTAAAGAACTGATCCAGCAACAAACTACCAAAAAAACAGCCCAGAAAAAGACTAAGCATATACGGATACCTAATATATGACACAGCATTACAATTTACTATGGGAAAAGGTTGTACTGCTCCAAAAATGGTGCTGGGAAAACTGGTTACATATGAGGGGGAAGGAGGGAGCAGTGGAAGACAGAAGCTGGTTTCCTTTCTCACACCAAACAGAGAAATTCATTCCTGATAATTAAGTACATAAATATGAAAAGTAGCTCTCCAGTTCTTTTAGAGAAAAAAATATGATATCATATGATTACAGGATAGAGACAGATTTCTTAAACATGACAAAACAGCATTCACCACAAAAACAAAAAAAATTAAACCCAACTATATTAAGGACTTTTGTTCATCAGAAGACACCAAAGAAGAAAGTAAAAAGAGAATCCACAAATTGGAAGATACTTGTAATACATGTAAAGGATTAGTAGAAATTAGAGAAATTCTACAAATCAGTAAAATACACTACAGGATAGAAAATAGGGCAAAAGACATGAGCTGGCACATCTCTACCAAAACCACAGTACATGCACAAAAAGATGCTCAACCACGTTAGGAATCAGGGAAGAGCAAACTCAAGCCACAATGAGATAGCCCTTTATCACTAACCTGAATATACCAAGCAATGGTCAGAATGTGGATGACCAGGAATATTGCTCTTACACCATGGGAGTGCAAAATGATACAACCACTACTTTGGAAAACATTTTGGCACTTTCATGTAAAGTTGAACATTTATACACCCCATGACCTAACAAATTCTCCCCTATGTAAATATTTAGGGAAACTTTTACATTACATGTTTTTGATCCCCAATTTATCTCCAGCCAAGGCCTGTTCCATACCTTGTCAATGATAATTCCATCATTCTATCCTTCTAATTGCTCAGGCTAAAAACCTCAATGCCATCTTTGAATCCTCTTTCTCTAACACCTCATATCAAGAAATTCTTAGTGGCTCTAATATCAAAATACACCAAGGCCAAAAACTCAAACCTCAGAATCAGACTGATTCTCAACATTCACTGTAACCACTGTGGTCCCAATCATCATCATCATCACCACCACCACCATCATTATCATCATCTCTTTCCTGGATTAGCTTCCGAACTAGTCTGTTTACCTCTCTGACTGCTATCTCAGTAAAGCAACCAATTACTTAAAAAAATTAAATACAATCACATCATTCCCCTGTTCAAAATCATCCAATGGCTCCTCATTTCACTAAGTATAAAAGCCAAAGTCCTCACAATGGCCAGCAATGTCACTGATCTGGCCTCTTCCCTTCCCCGTATTTTCCTGGCACCTCTTCTACCACCCTCCCTCTTGCTCACTTAATTTCAGCATACTGGCTTCCTTACTGATTCTCAAAAATAAACTAAGCATGTTCCTGCCTTAGAGCTTTTGCGCTGGCCATGTCCCCTTATCCTGGATTATCTTCTGCCCAAAGATGGCTGATTTCTTCACATCCTTCAAGTCTTTGCTAAAAGGTCATCTCCTCAATGAAGCCCACCCTAACCATTGTATAAAAATTGCAACCCTAACCAACAGAAAAATGGGCAAGAGACATGAACAAACAATTGATTAGAAAGAAAGGAAGAAAACGTGAAACGATGTCCAACCTCATTCATAACAAAAGAACAGCAAATTAAAACTACATGGAAATATAATTTCTCACCTATCAGACTGGAAAAAATTATTTGTAATTGCAAAATCTTGAGTGAGAGTTTAAAGAGTAACATATATTTATTTATATAATCTCAAAGTATCTCCCTCCCAAAATATTTATTAAATTCAAAGGGGAAAATAGTACTTATAGTGGAGAAACCTGACAGACACCACTTTAATCATGTGATGAAAGTTAATATAACCAGTAATGGGAAAATCAACAATATGTGACTCCTGCTAAGAGCACTGAAAAGAACATAACGTCACAACTGTGGTACTCCTGTCAAAAGTACATAAGCTGAATATAATCATGAGCAAACACCAAACTCACATTAAGTGGCATTCTACAAGTATACCTGGTCTGTACTCTTCAAAAATGTCAATGTCATTAAAAGCAAATTCTGCGGAACTGTTCCAAACTAAAGGAGGTTAGAGTCATTGTAATGGGATGAAATGCAAGAACTGGGATTTTTCTTTTATGAAAAATGACATCATTGTGACATCTGAGTAAGCTGTACAGATCAGATAATAATGTATATCAATGTTAATTATCTAATTATGGAAACTGTACACTGTGCTTATTAAAAAAAGTTTATAGGTAAAACACACTAAGCATGTATGAGTAAAGGGGCTTATATCTGCCACTTACTCTCAAGCATTTCAGAGAGAACATAAATGAAAATGAAGTGTGATACAATTTAACATTTAGGAAATCCAGGTGAAGTGTATACATGAATTCTTACTTTTCTATTAAGTCTGAAATTATGTCGCAATAAATAAAATGCAGGCACACACACACACAGATACTCTCTCTCATGCACCCCCCCTTTTTGTAAAATTGCAAACACGCTCTACACCAAGTTGTCCTGAATCTCCTTTACCCTATTTAATTTTAGTAACCTACCATCTGCTAACCTATGGTAATTTATTTTATTATGTTCATTGTTTGTCTCTCTTCCTAGAAAGTAAGCTCTGGGTGGGCAGAAATTTTGTGTGTATATGTGTATTTTGTGCACTGATGAATCCCATGTCCCTAAAACAGATCTCCATACATAGCAGGCAATCAAGAAGCATTTGCTGGAAAACTGACTGACAAACTGAATGAATGAATGGCTATACCAGGAAATATGTGAAAGAATGTTGGTAACAGCATTGTTTGAAAGCAAATAAATATAACAAAAACAAGTTTCCCGTACACAAATCAAAGAATACATATATATACAAAGTTTTAAAACCTTGATTCTCTCACTGTACTGTTGCAAACTATTTAAAGGGAAAATGTGAAAAGTGGAAGGTTATCTTGAAACCAAGAGTTTTATGAGGACACAAAAATACCATCAAATGTTATCCTTAGGTGTCAAAATGTATAACAAATACTACAAAAATCTATAGTATGAGGAATGCTTTTCAAATGACATTAAAAAACACTGGAACTATTATAGAGATTAAATGACAAATAAGTTTACCTAGGCATAAAATACAATATCTTTCTAGAAAATAAATAATTACTCCCTTTTTCTACAGCATTGTTGGGAAACTCAATTATGAAATAATCTACAATAAATAATGATAATATGCCAACATTACAGTTGAATCAGTCCATTACACATCTTCACCAGTTAGTACTTTAATTTAAACATTGACATACGAATAGACAATTTATCAAGTGTGGTCATCCAAATTCATTTAAGACTTCTAACATTACCTCTTCATCATTAGGGTCTACTGTGGTTTCATCATACACTCGCTGGTTGTCAATGGTCTTCGGTATAGGCTTTGGTGGAGCCTAAATAAAAGAAAAAGGGTTAAGTCTTAGGAGCATTTTACATTAATAATTTTGCATTATGATTGGGGAAGAATAACAGAAATCTGCAAATAATACAAAAACTCAATCTGTTCCTCATTTCAACCCACTGCTACATCAATCCTAATAACAATATTGAGTAAGAGGCTTTTTAATTCTCTGAGCAGACACATGCACATACTGGAAGAACTGCTGACACTAAATAAAATGGCTTAAGACCAGGCAGAAGTAGCAGAGAGAAGAAACTGGAATCAAAATAATTATTCATGAAGAAGAAAAATATCAAATGGGAAAAAATTACAAAGGTACATATATATATAGCTTTGTTTCAATACTTTCAGAAAGCTATTCAGAAATATATAAGAAAAGCTATAAATCTGTTTCCATCTACTGAACTAGTAATTCTAGTTTGGGGGATTTACGGTAAGGAATGAAAAGGGGGAGCAATTTATACAAAGAAATATGTATTATCACTATGGTTAGTGGAAATGAACAGTAAATAGGGCAGATGTCCAACAACAGGATAATGACTACAGCATTTCCAGCATAATGGAATACCATGAGAATCAGTAATCATGCACAATATTGTTTGCTTAGACCAAAATATTGTGTAAATGAAATTTTAAGGAGCAAGAACACAGAACTGTAACCATATACTGACTAAAACTAATCCAAAATATATGTACACTAACAGAGATGAATATGAACTGACAAACTAGGATTTTTTTATTATTCTATGAAATGAATATTAAATTTGAAGCAATTTTTTTAAAAGAGGCAGGTCTAGGAAGTCATCTTTCAATCCAAAAACAAGAAAGGTGATATTTTCAAATGGTGATCAGCATATTAATTTGCTATAACTGACTGATTATTGAGAGTTTAAAAAAGACTAACATTGCTTGATAGGATTTCGCAGGTCAAAACAGTCTAACATTGGCAACTTCCTGTGATTTAACCTAATACTATAAATAGAATTCATGAAGAAGAAGCGTTTAGTTTGTGTGTATATATATATACATATATATAGTCTATTATTTTTCACTTTCTCAGAAATGCTTATCATTTCTTGGTCCCTCATCTTAAGAGATGGGAGGGGGGAAAAGTCGAACATTTTTTAAATTTTGCAAGTATAAATTGTAACCTTGAACTAACTATAAATAAAATGAAACTAAAATGAAAATAACTTAGCTGTGCAATAATGCAGAAGTATTTAGTAGTTCTTTTAAAATTTTTCAATAGAAAGATTTCACTTTTTGTTAATATCACAAAAATAGCCAAATCCTTTCTTGATGCATTATCTCTTCTCTCTTCTTTGCCATAATCCACTCAGGTATCTCACCTTCCTCCCACTCCCCATTCTCACTCTTCACAGGTTCCTAACCTCAGAGTCAGCTCTCATTCTTACACGCCCCAACCCTACAACAGAAGAGGCTGTGCCCAGCCATTCCCCAGCCTTGCATAACAAAGTGCATCAAGTCAGAAGAGCTCCAGTTACAGGCCTAAAACGGGGATCTTCCCCATTCCCAGTCAGGGAGATGTGTCTCTGCCTCTCAAACACATAAAGTTAAGTAAAGTAAGCAAGTTGAAGTAGACACACCATTTTGAAATTTTGAAAACATGCAAAACACCACTACTGGGTTTACTGTTTAGGGACACAAACATAGTAAAGGTAATAAAGGAAGTGCATGGGAACAATAAAGAGCAATTTCATGAGCGCTTATCTTTTTTTTTTTTTGGCCATGCTACATGTCAAGAGGGATCTAAGTTTGAAACCGGTGCCCCCTGCAGTGGAAGCGCGGTGTCTTAACCCTCTTAACCACTGGACCACCAGGGAAGTCCCAATGAGTGTTTCTTTGGAGGGGAAAGCAATCAGAAAAAAGTACACAAGAACTTGAACACTATCTACTAATGCATAATTTCTTATGCTGAGTAAAGGATAGAAAGGGGTATGCTGCCTTATTTTTATATCATTTTATATATCCAAAATATTTCATAATAAATTTTAAAAGAAAATGATTCAATGTAAGTATCAGGGAGCACTCCTTAATACCAGACAGAAAGCAGAGGACTAAAAGTTTCATTTACCTTATCACCAAGAGCCTCTCTCTCTTTTTTAAGTTTTTTCTTAGCTGCCAACTTTTCCTAAAGGATTTGAAAAAGAAAAGAACAATATTGAGAAACCACCAGTTATATCACAAACACATACTGAAGTTATAAATTACTAATGCTATGAATATTTAAACTGAGCAATCTTATAACTGTATTAAAAGAAACATCCTGACTTAGATTTTCGTAGCTGTATTGTAAACCAAATGAGCTAGCCAATCAATAAGATTTCTCAAAGATTCTGCTCCTTCAAAACACTAATCTAAATTGACAAGTTTAAATGTTTAAAATTTCACTAGCTTTATCTTTTACTATAAAACCTCAAATTAAGTGAAAGTGCAAAATGTACATCTAAACAAGTTAAATAGTTTTTGTTGTTTTGTTTTGCATTCCTTTGCAAGTTGCATCCTAAAGAAAACCGTGGCTATGCTGGTTGCTTGTCTTGAAAAGTACTAAAAATAAACGGTAATGAGAGAGGAGTTTTCAGGTTGTTTCCAATAAAACCATCACTAGTTACTCAAATATTTTATAAACACAACATGCTTTTAAAATGATCAAAAACCGGCAAGATGTACCGTAAATCTGTAACTTCTGTCGACTTCTGAACAGAATGCTTGACACACAATATAAAATAGGGTTTTTTTTTTTCCCCCAGCGCCTGTTGACCCTCAATCCATCAGATCTCGGATTAGAAATTACAGTCCCAATAAGTCTTCTAGGACACCCTTCCCCCATACGTGCACACCAGAATGGGTTAGATGCCCCTTCTACATCCCCTCCATCCCCCAACTTCCACCCCAGGGGAGCGAAAGGGACATCGCGCACGCGCTCTGGCGCCTCCGCGCCTCATACCTTCCGCTGCTGCTGTTTCCACCGCGTGAACATTAAGTGTCGCCGCTGTTTGTTCTTAATCTCCGAAACGCTGAAGCCTGGAGGAAAGGCAGCCGCCTTCGAGGGTTGGACCCCACTTTCCGTCGTCCCATCCTCAGCGACTGCAGCCTCCTGAGGTTCTTCAGTAGCAGCTTTGCGTTTCAAGCCTTTGTTTCCGCTGCCGCCGCTCTTTTCCCCGGCCTTCGCCATGGTATTTTTGCTCCTTGTGGTCTGTACGGAAACGGAAGTAGCTTTCTCCTCCGACCCCCGTCTTTAAGCTATTACTTCCGGGGTCGGAAAGTTCTTAAAGGAAAATGTATAGTTTTGTGAGATCTAGCGGTTTAAGAAGGTGCTGAAATTTAGGCTTAAGGAGAGTTTAGGGAGCTTGCCCAGCCGTGTGAACAACGAAATGATGAGTTGGTGGAATCCGTTATTGAGCGTTTTCCGTGTGCCGACCCCCTAAAACCTAAGAACAAAACAATCTTTGAAGTATAGAGAGTTTACATTCTACTAGAGACAAAAATGAGCTCCCAAATAATTAGTGTGGTAAGCTATTAATATTAAGTAGTGCACGGTGTGGAAAGAATAGAACAGTATAAAAGAAGATGAGGGGATAGAGGGGCAGATTACAACTCTTAAATAGGATTCTCAGAGTGGGCTTCATTATTGAGCAGAGATTTGAAGGAGGTAATGGGGCATACTATGCAGTTAACTGGGGGAAGATCTGATAATCTGAGAAAAGCTGTCCAGGCAAAGGAAACTTACAGCTCCAAGGCTCCTAGTCAGTAGCAAGCCTAGCTTGTTCAGGAAACACTGTGGAAGCCAGGAGTCAAATGAGAAAGGAGGAGAGTAAGTGCTGGCGGGAGTGGGGTGGGGGTTAGGGTGCCAGATTGTGTAGGGTTTTGTAAGGACTTTGGCTTTTATGTGACGTGAAGATTTCTTGGAGGATTTTGAGAAAAGGAATGGCGTGACCTGACACATTTTAAAAGCATCACTCAGACTCTTCTCTTGAGAAAGGACTGTAGGGGAGGGAAAGTGACAGGAGGGGCGAAATGAATGTCATGAACCAGGGTGGTTCTAGTGGAGGTGGTAAGAAGTGATCAGATTCTTCCTACGATTGAATAAAAGGCATGAGAGAAAGAGAAGAATCTTGGATGACTCCAAGATTTTTTAACCGAGTGACTGGAAGGATGGAGTTACCATCAATTGACATGGGAGAGACTTCATGTGGAGCAAGTTTGAAGGGTAAGATCAAGACTTCAGTAACGGAATGTTAAGCTTGAGATGCTTACTCGTCATCATGTTGTCAGGTAGTCAGTTGGGATGTGTGATTCTGCAGCAGGAGAGAGAGCTGTGGGCTAGAGAGCAGAACTAGGGAGTCATCAGCAAACGGATAGTATTTCAAACCATTATAATGAGTGTAGATAAAGAACTGAAAAATAGAAGAGGATGAAGGACTGAATCCTGGAGCAGTCCCATATGAAGAGCTGTAGAGAAAAGGAGGACCTAGTAAAGGAAAATGAGAAGGGAAAAACAAGAGAGTAGAGTGTCATGGAAGCCAAGTGAAGAAAGTGTTTCCCCAGTGGTTAAATTTTGCTGTATTTCTCATTTTAATTTTTTATGAAAATGCCCTCCAAACAGAATTCCTTTTGGTTTAGAGTCAGCACTTGATTTTCCAGAAATTGTCTTAATTTAAAGTTATATATTTCAATATTGACATTGGGTGTTTTGATAATCCAACATTTTGGTGTCTATACTGCGTTTTTCACCTTTTTAAGTTCTTTTAAACAGGACATTAAAAACATCAAAACTGTCTTTTAGAATAAGAGTCCCACCAAAACTTACTACCAAGCCACAACTGCAAAATTGTGATTAGAAGACAAACCTATCATGTTTAGATCCAAAACTGGATTTGAATTGTACAATACAATAGAAAGGAACAAATAGTGTTGAGCTAAAAAATCACTGACATACAGGTTTGGCTGCAATAATTTATAAAATATTATGCAGTTTATTTAAAGAGGAAAAATCAGATCAAAAGCAAGGAGTTGGAGGAGGAGGAGGAGGAGGAGGAGGAGAAGGGGCAGCAGAAGGAGACAAACCAACCTTTATATAAAAAACATAGACTGAAAAAAATATTTTGGAAGTCTCTTCTAGCCTTAATATTTTATCTCCCTACATATAATACATTCTTTCCTTATAAGAATACAAAATAATCCTGAACTAGATAACTGTCTTTAATTTATTCAGTGGTGCCCTACAAATGAGACCAAAAGCTGTTTATGGGCTTCCCTGGTGGCGCAGTGGTTGAGAGTCCGCCTGCCAATGCAGAGGACATGGGTTCGTGCCCCGGTCAGATCCCACGTGCCGCGGAGCGGCTGGGCCCGTGAGCCATGGCCGCTGAGCCTGCGCGTCCGGAGCCTGTGCTCGGCAACAGGAGAGGCCACAACAGTGAGAGGCCCGCGTACAGCAAAAAAAAAAAAAAAAGGCTGCTTATAGAGACTGCCTTCATGACTTACTGGTAATAATAGTTGTGTGGATTGAATAAGACGATTTCTATGATCAGAATAAAATTCTTATCCAGAAGAAATCATAAAAGCATTGATCAATTCAGCAAATGTGTATTTAATGCTACTCAATAAATGAATAGGGTAAGTATGATGGAAACAGTGGGCTCTATATTCAGATCTGTGTTCAGATTTTGACTCAGATGCTATAAAATCTCAGTTAAATCACATAATCTCTGTGAGCCTCATTTTCTTCATCTGTAAACTGAGCTAATTATACTACCACATAGGTTGTTGAGATAATGTACATTAAAGAAATACACACACCCAATAAATGCTAACTAGCTATTTTTATTATGTCTAGATCTAGAGACTAAGCTAAACATTGTTGAGAAAGAAAGACATCATGTTTGCCCTCAAGTACCTTACAGTTCAGAAGAAGATAAAACACAATTCTAGTGTAAGTATTCAGTAGTGGTCAGTGTAGAGTGCTGCTTAATATGAGGTCCATTTCTTCCATTTGTTTTTTCTCAGTAACTGCTTCATTGTTCATTATTTTCAGGGCCCACTTCTAATAGAGTATACATTATTTTAAAATAAAACACTTATTTTTGATATTTAATAAATATCTTTTACTTGTTTTAGTTCTGACATTTGGGAGACCATGGAATACAACACTTGGACACCAGATGAGTTCAGTGATCTAAATAAATATATGACCTAAGATTCTGTTGAGAAAATTTGATCTGTATTTTACAATATGACTTAAGCTCTTTATATCACAGAAACATTTCCAAAAGTTCAAAATATTAATCCATTGCATGAGAAAAAGGAATATCAGTTTTAGGGATGGAAGATGTTTTATTTGCAATGTGGTATAACCCTTGGACAAACACAAAGAAATAAATTAACGCTTTCTGAGCTTGAATTATGCCATTCAGTTTGTTGCTCAGAATTGTTAAAAGAAAAACCAAAACAGAGGCCACATTTTGAATATACTTTTTGACCAAACACTCATAGTTAAATAACCAAAACTTAAACTATCCTGATTTCCCCAAAGTACTGCCTCTGACCTAAAACAATCCTGATTTCCCCAAAGTACTGCCTCTGACCTAAAACACAAAAGCTTTCTTCTGGTCAGTGTACACAGTGCTACTCCCATAAAAAGACGTTAAGTTTCTAGTAACCAATCACAAAAAAAAGAAAATGTACTCCCTCATCCATGCTTTATAAATTCAGCTGTAACTGCTGAATGCTGAGCTTCTATCCACCTTTCAGCTCAAATCGCCCTGTTTGTGAGTAGTGTTTCTTGCTTGATAAAATGTTTATATCAAGTAAAGCTCTCCAAATTTTCTTTTGACAGAACAATAGAACTATTACAAAGCTAGCGTCTCATCTGTGAATGTTTCCTTGGTACCCAAGACCTGTTTTGGGCACTTAAACTACTTATCTAATGGAAGTTTGAGAGTTCTCTTTTTCGTTTACAGTGTTCTATACCTTAAGTTACCTTAGTGACTAATGAGGTTTGTTTCCCAGACTGTACTGACACAGGAAGTTGGTTGAGAAGTTATTACAAGGATTCCAAGTGTCGATAGGACTCTCACAATGTCAGCTCTCCTTTGGAAGAAATTAAAGTCCACACGAGTAGAATGAATACAATTTTGTGAGGAGATATTAGAACCACACCCTCTCCTATCTAAAACTGAATTAGAATGACTCAAATACAGGGACTTCTCAGATACTGAAAACCTGGAGAGTAATTGTGTGGTGAATACTATCATCCCTATATACTCCACACTGTGAAATAGACAATGCATTTCCTGGCCTTTCCAGAAACCAAAAATATATTAGGAAACCAAAAGTTTTCCTCCAGAAATAAGTCTTTAGATTGTATCTTTGGAATAATTTCGGATCATTTCCTTGAGACCTGTAACTTTTTTTCGGTAGACTCTAAACTTGGCCATGATGGTGTAGGATGCAAGGACAGTGCTCTTTATTTTCCAAGTAGCTTGATCCTTAGCAATAAGGTGAGATGTTTGAATAAACAGGGTTTTTTTCTGCCTGTTAATATTTCCAGAGCACGTAGAGGTCCACCATATCAGAAATGGTGATACATATTTCTGATCCTTACCTGACCAGGGAAAGCAGCACCACAATTAAAATGCAGTTTCAGGGACTTGCGTGGTGGCGCAGTGGATAAGACTCTGTGCTCCCAATGCAGGGGTCCCAGGGTCGATCCCTGGTCAGGTAACTAGATCCCACATGCATGCCACAGCTAAGAGTTTGCATGCCACAACTAAGGAGCCCGCCTGCTGCAACTAAGACCCAGTGCAACCAAATAAAAATAAATAACACATTTTTTAAAAAATGCAGTTTCACTAAAATATCATCTCTTAAAGTGATTTCTTATTGTTTGAGTTCATCAAAGAAACTTTTATTTATTTCTTTGTAAGGTATACTGTGCCTCTGAGTGGTGTTTCTGACTATGGAGCAACCATAAATATAATTTAAATATCAGCCTGGAATGGCTTTTGTATATCTAAGTATCTAGTTTGTTTTGATTCATTCATTAAACAAATATTTATTAAGTCATACTTTATGCTGGATCCTCTGGCTATAGAATTATAAAACAAACAAACCTATCTCCCTGCCTTCAAAGAACTCCAGTGGGGAGAGCCCAAGTAAGAAAGCAAATCCCAAAAGTATGAGAGGTTCTATAACCACTACCTTGTTTTATAATGAAGGCCAAGTTTCTTCTCATGTCTTC